GCAGGCAGGCAGAGAATCTCTCGACCCATTAGCTATTCTTCCACAGATCAGACAGAGCGGTTCTGGCCCTATCTGATAGATACATCCAATGTTTGAGGTAAATTTTTGTTTGAAATAAGAATTCTGCTGCAAAACAAATCTTTTAAGCAACTGTGTTAGAGAAAATAGTCAACCTTTAAAGTGATAGACTTGCAAACCTAATTATAAAATAAATGTCATAGGGTAAATTAGCGTGTGTGCGGGAAGAAGCTGGTGAATATTCTATTTTTAAACTGTTCAAAATCTTTCACCAAGTGTCTACAGTGAATGAAATTTTGCGACGTGAGATTGAAATGAAGGTTGCTTGTGACTGGAGATTTGATTTAATTTTGGGAAAATGGCGAGCCATAAGTTTCAATTGATACTTCAAAGTGACAGCTTTGCATTTCCTACTTCCGGTCTAGAACTCAGTGGCTCATTTTTCCATCCCCTTCCCTTAGACTCTCTGTGTCTGTGAGTACATGTTCAGTCTTGGCCTATTATTACTTTTTAGTTTGGAGCGAACAAAGATGACTTTAGACTCATTCTTGTGGTCATATACCACATTCTTTCCTAGTAACTGTTCAGTTTCCACCATCCTTTATTTACATTTCCATATTTAAGTAGACCCCATATTGATCTTTCTGAGTATCTCAATTTTTCATCTCTTTGCCTCCCTTTTTGTGGTCACCAACTCAATTTGTTTTCAATTTGTGCCCAGTATGTATTCTGAATTGTCTCTGACTTCTCTCCCCCCCTCAACTGTTTCAATCTAATTCATCTTTTCAGACTTATTTTTAAACAACACGTTTCAATACCAATCTGTACAAAAACACGGGTACACTTCACAGCTGTAGAAATATTGTCTAAACATCTGTCCATCTTTCGGCATCTTCAACCTCCTGATGTGAACTTGACCTACCTCGCTTCTCAGCACCCTCTACCTAGTTGACTGGATTTTTTGTTTTGTTTTGTTTTGTTTTGGAGAAGGGGTGTCAAACCCATGAATACACATTGCTCTCTGTTTCTGCGGTTCCTTTGGCACCATGCATTTAAAGAGAAAAGATACTATTCACTTTCAATTTGCTCCATTCTTTTGGAGCTGACTTGCACAGATGTATTTTTTAAAAAGAAAAAAATCCTCAGAAAAAGCACACCAAGAACTCCACAGGAAAGGAACACACCGGGAGGAAAGAAGCTAATATATTCGCCATTTAAGCTCTTTGTAGCTTCGTATTTTATTATTATTATTTTAAATAAATGACTCCTTAGAAAGGGATAAAATACCTTTCTCAGAGTAGCTAATAAAAAAACTATACAGTCTTGATTATGGCAGAATGGAAAACTGTTACAAGCAGCTATTATTTTCCCATAAAGTCATCATAATGCCAAATACTTCAAAGTTTACAAGTCCATAAAGACTAGTCTTTTTCACAGAGACCAAGCTGGAATTGCATCTGTTTTCCTGAAATGAAAAAGGCTTATCCAGAATAAGACTTTTTGGTCTAGAATGAAAATATCTTCAAAATAAGAACATTTCTATCCATGTGACATTCATGATCCCCAAGGTTATCATAAATATTAAATAATTGAAATATGTTTATTAAAGTTTATCTTAGGAAATGAAAACTGTGTTGTTTTGGTAATAACTTCCAAAGGGGTTGTCTTATGCTGGCTTACCCAAAGGGACGGCTCCTAACAACCGGTTTCTTCCTAAGGTGCTCCCATGAGGAGCTCATAAGAGGGTGGGCGGCATCAGGATGAGGAAGGGAGGGAGCAAGCGTTGGTGAAATCTCAGGGAAAATTCTTTGGAGGGAACTTCAACCTTCTCCCACAGGTTCCGGGGAACATGAGTTACACCTTAGGGTTTTCCCCAACTCAGTGTCGTGGCACTGGCCTTTCATAGTCCTGGACTATTAACAGCCAGGCTGGGCTGGGTTTCTGGTGATGGGTCTGAACCCCCTATGCTACTTGCTCCCTGTTGCTGCAGGCACAGTACACGCAGGAGCCCAAGGGTAGTCACAGGATGTGAGTCACACGTGTGTTGGAGACAAAACACCTGACCACAGAAAGGGGGAAATTGGGGAAGGGGCCTGAGGGGGCTGGATAGAGCATGACAATGGCCAATGTACTTCTGACATCCTAGAACCAGAAATTTTCTATTTAATATGTTATTGACCATTCTGTGATGTCGGGCAGAGTGAGACCACAGGCATGGTGCTTACCTTTTTTGTCTCAGCTTCTTATCAAATAAATAAAAGCACCTAACTCAGGAGTCTTATAAATATTACACAAGGTAACGCACAAAAGTATTTCATCACTGCATATAGCATCAGCATAATTATTCATTTTAATGTTTAACTCCTGCTTAGTTAGTATTTTCATTGTATAGACTCAGGCAGTGGGAGTCTCGGAGTGCCATACTAAATTTATGCCTGATTTAGATCGTACTCATAAAATAAGAATAATTCTGGGGTGATATGAAGAATATATTTCCAGGAACAACTGAGGAGATTGCCTAACTGCATAAGAAAATGAAGGGAAATAGAAGTTTGGTCAGACAGAGAGGAAACAAAAATATAATTCATTTTGACACCACTGTAGAAAAAAATAGAGCGTGAAGCTTGGATACCATCTGAATCTATCATTTTTATATCATTTTAAACTTTAAAGTCATGTATAAGTCAAGACGATCTAGATCATTGGTAGGAATAGATACAGAGGAAAAAAGCAACAGTTTGTGGAAAGAAATAGGAACAGAAAATGCAGTGTATTTAAAATTCCTAAAAAATAAAAAGCATCATGGAAACATTTAGTAACGAGGCAATATTCAGTTGAACCATATAAAATGACCAATCCTTGGATTTTTTTGACCCACTAAAACATCAATTTCATATGATTTAATCTAATACATAAAACCTTTTGGGAGATAGTCTTCTAGGGCCCTCCTTTGCTCCTAATCTGACAGCTATGTCGAGATACAAAACTCTAACCATCCTTTACCTAGGACATTTCTCCAAGTGTGTTCATAGCAAGAAAACAACCTGGAGTGATGAGAAAATGTCCCCTTCCAGGATAAAGATCAGGTGGGCTTACTGCTTGCTGTAGAAGTGGTGCCATTTTCCCAGCTCAGTGTTTCTCTGCTGTGACAAAGCTCATACCACTTGCAGGCATCATCTGGGCTCTTCACAGCACATCCTAAGAATATGGGAAGAAGAACCAAAGTCAATAAGCACAGGTGCATACTGCATACTTTACTGTGAGGGATAATGTCCTGTATCTCTAATTCAAGAATATCATGTCTTCTGACATCTATGAAACAGTAGCATGTTAATACCTTAGCTTTAGAGTGGGTTAAATCAAACTCAAATCCAACAAAATCACAACAAAGAATACTCTCAGGATTTCATTAATGAGATCCGTTACGAAAATTTCTCAAACTGTTACTGCTTAGGACCAGGATATTGACAACTACCTTAAGAAAGACCAGGGGGTCACATCACCATTTATGGTTGATTTTTCTTAGGCTTCTTTCAGAGGAAGTAAAACACTTTCAGAAGAAACTAACCCACAGCCCTCAGGCCCCAGAGCTCTCAAAGCTATGAGTCTGTAACTCAGACTCTTGGAAGACTCCGAGTGAGAGAGTTTAGGCAAACTGATAGCTTCCCTTATTGCATCCGTTTCTCCCACTTTACTTGGTCATGGGCTCAATCTTTCATCGTCTTTAAGTTTTGTAGGTCAGAGCTCCCATACAAAGTGAGGCTAACCGAGGTCAATAACCTGCACCTCCGGCACAGCCCCCGCTTTCTTCTTGAATCTATGACTTTGGTGGTTACAGACTTTTCTCCCCTCCTAGGCTGACCATGAATGAAACCCACCCATTTTCTCCTGACAATGCCACAATTGTGGACTTGGCATTTTTATGTAAATAGCTGTTCTCTGATTCATTAAACCCCCTGCCCCTGCCATTTTCCTTGCTGACCCATATCAGCCACACACTGGCAAAACACAGAGAAATCAAGTGGACAAAGAGAGGCAATAAAAGGGTTATAATCAGGACGTGTGTTGTGACTGTGACCAACAAGGAAATTTGGAAATGGGTGACTGAACACCCAAGGACGCGCTGTCAGCCAGTCACAGCAACGTTTGTTCAAAGTCTGACAAATGTTCAGCACCATTTCAAGGTGTCACATAGAGATACATGGAGAGTGGCAATCATGGACGCAACCTTAATAGCACTTAGAGTTTAATAGACAACCTGGCATAATCAATGCCAGCCTTCCATCCTGTCCCTTGCTTACCTCACCGCTTACTCTTTATTTCTCTCACAGTGTCTGTCACAAGCTGTAACATGGAGATTATTTATTTTTGTTCTTGATTATTATGGCTCCCGCAGAGCCAAGGATGCAATGGCATGACCATTTCACTTGTTGCCACCGGCAGTCTCCTTCACTCGAAATGAGAAACTCCTCTGGGAGTTCCTCCAAATTCTAATTCACACTGTAACCTGGAACCTAGCAAAATGTTGTTAGTGCATTCTCCAAAAACAGGTTTTTGAAAAGTAAATCGGGGACAAAGTAAATAAATACAACCAGCAGTGGATATCTGCAGATTAGTTCATTTTATTTTCTGTATGTTCTTATTAAGTCAGTAGTACAAAATTAGGTGGGGATCTAGCTCAAAATTACAAGGAAATTTTTCAAAGAATATACCTGAAAAAGATTCTCTAGACCCCAGGCTAATTGCTCTCAAACTGACCACAGATGAGGAAGAGACCAGAACCACGCTTAACAGAATTTCCTGGCTGGCCTAGAGAGCTGTGAGCCACCAAACTTTAGAGTGACTTGATTTGTATTACTATGGTGGCAATAACTCATATTACACTTTTTTAAAGTAAAAAATATATATATAATGACCCATAAAAATCATTAAAATGCAAATTAATTAAAATAGGAAGATTTTGATTTGAATTATTTGGTTCCTTTAGAACCTCAAACATCTTCCCTCTGATCAGTAACACACCGTGGGGCTAAGTAGGCCTGGTAGGAGGTACTTAGAGAAGAGCAGTGAAAGACGTTAGCAGGCTCAGCACCACGGCGGTGGATGTCACCTTTGCCGCGGAGTTTGAGCGCCAGTGCTTGTCGTAGACGTCACCCACGATCGAGAGCACGGCCTCCATGGTCTCCTCACAGGTGGCTTGAATCTGATCCTCTGGTAAAAGAAACCCATGTGTCCCAGTGTCCCTGAGCTCAAAAGTGTAGGAGAAGGGGATCCCTATGTCCCGAGCCCAGTCTCTTGAAGACCCGGATGTGGAATCTGCAATGAAATGGAGAGAGGGAATCAGAGAGCTCTTCCTACCGGCTTGTGCCTATGCAAGTGTGCTTTCCTCTCCTGTCTCTTTTTAATAAACGTACTCTTTAAATATAGAAAGTAAAGAAAGAAAAGAGGGGAAAAGAGTTTGAAATTGTACTATGAACAGACTAATTTCTACAAACTACTTCGGGAATAAAGGTTCAATCTAAACTTTTATGAACTCTTTCATTTAGTGTCTCGTGGATAACTGCCTCCTCCCTCTGCTTGACATTACTCCCTTAAGGCAGGGTGGGAATTACATCTTGTTCAGTCTCCTCTCTCTGCCCTGCCACCCTGCACGATACTGGCATCTTGCCTGGCACACAGCAGAGATGTGGTTAAAGTTCTTCAGCTGAATCAAAAACTAGACAACTTAACACTTCCAGGCAAGAGTGGGCTGACATAGAAAGGAACAGAAACAAAATGATCAACAGAAAAGATATTACGCAAATGTTATCTGGGTGGACCGGTGGGTCTAGGGGAAAAAGCAAGGTGTTCTCCTTTCATCTAAATTAGTATTACTTTTCAGATCCTTTCTCCAGGCCCTCCTACTTTCTTAGCATCATGGGTCCTCAGTGAGCTGAATCAACAGACCAAGTGTCGCTGAAAGACACTTCCTGTGAACCCTGAGCCTTCTTGCTTGCCAGTTCTTCCTAACGGAAACCCAAAGAATCCTGATCTCAACGAGTGTATTAGTTTCTTTCTTTCAGCTCACACTTTATCCCCAGAGAGCATCATTTTGGATTTGTACAGACTCCCTTTTATCTCTGGTCATTTTTATTAATACAACTTCCTGCAGATCCACAGATCTCCTCCTGCCTATTCTGCTCCCCAAAGTCCACTGACTTCTTTTGTGCCTTAGATACTATTGAAGAGGCGAAAAAAGATACTTACATAAAATGTCTGCACTTGATCCAACTTTATAATTGGTTCCATATTTTGCTTTCAATGCATTTGCTGCCTTCTGTCCAACTTGGATCTGTAGGTGGGAAATGCAGAGACAGATATCTGGTGTTAAAAATACTTCCAACAATCCAGAGGGTATGGTATTTCATCCAAATACATCTCCACAGTTCCAGACCATCTTTCTAATTTCTCAGTGGACATCTCTACCTAAGGAGCCTGCTGATAACTTCAGAATCAACATACTCAAACCAATTTTATCACCTCTCCCACTCATAAGAGTGCTCTTATTTTCATATTTCTGGTCTATCATACTCTTTCAAACACGACTAAGATGCTGCAGTCAGCTTTGATTCTCCTTCTCTTAAATGTTATCAAGTTGAATTTCCAGGGCTATCTCCCTATTTCAGGCTCATTACCTCTGAAATGGACTATTGTTATCACTTAATAAGTTTCCCTCCCCCGCCCACCAATCCTTATCTCAATTGATCCCACCTGATGTCCAGGTGAACCTCTGTGGAGTAAAAGTTTGATCATGATTTTGCTAAAAAGTCTTCAATAGCTCTTAGTTGCCCCATGACTCAAGTACAAACTTCTCAGCTTAGTATTGGAGATCCTCTATGGAACACTCCCAGCCCATCTTTCCAGCTTCTTATCCTTATGTTCCACCTTGTTTATAGTCAGTTTCCAGCTCCCCCAGTCTTCCAAGACAAGCCCTGTGCTCTAGGCTGCTCTAAAATCCACCTGTTTCCTTTACTTGGGAAGCCTTACCTCTTATCTCTAGATAAGCTTCTATCCAACCTCAAAAGACTTTCTCAAATGCCCAGTTCTACATGAGCCCTACCTTATCACCCCTGATCTGTCTCTACTGTGAGTCCCCCATAGCCCCTTTTTCATATTTCTCTTAGTTCCCTCTTACTTTTCCTCAGAGGTGTTTGATACTTATTGATCATAGAATTTCAGAACTGGAAACTACAGCCTTCTTCACACCCACCACCCTGTCACCTCAAAACCTTGAGATCCCTCAAGGCTAGATGACTCCTAAGGTATCAGCATTGCCTTCTGTCACCCCATTCCTGAGGTCAGAATCACTGAGATCTGGGCCCTCTCTAGTGGCGCAGCAGATAGAAGCACTGCACTGCGAAGTTAAGCCAAGCCATGGCCGCTTCACTGCCAGTTGAATCTCCTCCCCGTGGCAGACCTCTCCTGTCTTTCCGCTGCTCCCCTCAGCAGTGTACTTCGTTGATCTGCCTGTTCTGCTCCCCACTATGTTTCTGGTGAATTCTCTCACCGCCCATGCACCTCTGGCCCATACCCCATTTCTGTATGCACAAAAAATAAAATCTTTTTTTAAAAAAAGAATCACTGAGATCCAAGTGTATTGGCATAGTTGATTGACTTTCTTCTGCATACCTTTTAGACTCTCTCCAAATAATCTCCTCCCCACACTCCTTAATGTTATATTTTTTCTACCTGGTGGTATATCTTACTCCTTCTCTTTAGAGTGGACACAAACCCCACCAGAATTCCCTAGCCAATCCCTCCCTGGTCTGTGATACACTATTGCGTTACGGCTAAGGAAACTTGACAGCGGGTATATCAACTTCCCTGGCTTCTGACAAGTGACATGTCCATTTGTAGACCCTGTCTGTCCCTTCTTGTACACACTAAATGACAGAGTGATGCTTGGGTAGAGGGGGACTGACACAGTGAAACTCAAAAGGAGCAGTGAGCAAGACAACATAGATGGTGGGCTCATAGGTAGCAGATGTGGGCAGCATCCTTAGCGTCCTCAGGACTTCTGAGTATGGTTAAGAAAAAACATCAGCTTCAACAGGTTTGTAAGCTTTATGCCTCCTCTCCACTTGCTACTGGGAACTCTATCTTTGGTCATTCACCTTCTCTCTCTTCCTGAAAAGAGATTTGGAGTCTCACTTCCTGGGCTTGTGTTGTCCAGAATTGGGATAAAGCATAGGAAGAACCCAAAGAAGCTCACAGAGTTAAACTGCTTTACTCCTTTAACTCAGAAAGCATTACAAGAGCTGTTTATAGGAAGAAGAGGAAACTGTAAGAAGTACATCTGAAAGGGAATTTAGTATATTCTTTGGGTAGATACCTAGGAGTGGAACTGTTGAATGGTATGGCAGATTTTTAATTCTTGAGAAACTTTGAGGAGATTTATGTACTCCTGTGTTCACTGCAGCATAATTTACAACAGTCTAATTATGGATACAATGTAAGTGTTCAATGACAGATGTTGAATAAAGAAGTTGTGGGGTACATATATGTGTGTGTGTGTGCAATAGAATACTAGCAGCGATAAAAAGATGAAATCTTGCCATTTACCAGCGATGGAGCTGGAGGGGGCTATGCTAGCTAAAATAAGTCAGAAGGAGAAAGATAAATATTGGATGATTTCACTCATGTGGAATATAAGGATAGAAAACAGACAAAACTAAAGCAAACAAACTCTAGAAATCTTGAGTGTAGAATTGGGCCTATTGGTGAGGGAGGCTACCAGGTGGGGGCGGGGGGCCCCAATACAATGAACTATGGTGAGGAGTGTTGGGGGTGACCAGGTGTGGAGATAACACAGCAACTACCGGTGGGACTAGGTAAGCGATAATAAACTGGGCCTCGCATCTAAGGGTGATAATTAACTGGGCCTCATATCAGGGAGATACCGGTGGGATGAACTGGGCCTCCCATCCGGGGCATAGCGATGAGTCACCCCTTTGGAATCTGAGCCTAGAATCTATGTAAGCGACCCTTTTTCCCCTATAGCACTGGCAGTAGCTGCGGACCCCTCCCTAGGGGCTCCATCTCAGCTGCTGCTCAGGAGCAATAAACTCTACTTGCTCAGCTTTTCTGCCTCCCATCTTTCTTCCTGTGGCGGGTCCCAGAAATCAGGACAAAACAAGGAGCATGGTGCTTGTGCGGAGGGTGTGGTCCTGCCACATGTGCTCCGAATCATATATGGTGTTGTAAGCCAAGGCTGTCTCAATGCATAAATGATAGAATCTTTAAAAGTGAAATTGCCTATAGGAAAAAAATAAAAAAGAAGGGGTTCATGGAGAGAGAAATTCCAATAAGGAAATAGGAATGACAGATGGAAGGAAAGGTTTCAGGGTAGCTACTTTGTGGCTGAAATGCAAAGCAGAGACCTAGGATTGTTACTTACCAATCCTCCTCCATTAGTTGTTCTTTGAGTCCTTGGTAAACTAATGGAATTATACTAATTATTTTTAGAATATGTGTTCCTGTGTTGTTTTGAAGATAACTCCATGCTCACTGGCTCATGTGGGACTCTGTGGGTCTATTTGGATTATGTGGTTCAACGCCACATTTTCCATCCAAAGGGTTCCTTCATTTTTTTTTTTTCCTGTATCTCACCTTAGACAACTATTTCTTCTTCCAATTGCCAGTCTTTTTCATTCTATATGGTTCCCTCTCCTCAAACCCTGGCAGTAGGATGGGATCAATCTTCCCACTTGGCCCTTTTTATTGACAAGGACCTTTCTAAAAACAATTCCACCAGCAATTACCATGGGGAGTAAATCATAGCAAGAGGTGTAACACACATGAGAGGTACACAGGTGTGATCCTAGGTGATAGAATTGGTCTTTTTCTGCAAACAAATATCTGAGGGTTCTGACTTCTCTTTCCTGATTATTCTTCTATCTCCCTCACTGTACTACAGAGCTAAAGAGAGCCAGTTTGCTTCCCCTCTTCTCAGCCCAAAGGCACTATCTAGTCAAAACAATAAAAATCTTCTGCTATGGCCTCCCTGGTGGTGCAAATGGTTAAGGATGCATCACTGCAAGCTAGCCTCAGCTGCTTCAGTGCTTCAGGTGCTGCAGACCTCTACTGACTCACTTGCTCCCCTCAGCAGTAGACTTCTTCGATCTGCCTGTTCTGTTCCCCACTTTGTCTCTGATGAATCCTCTCACCCCCTGCACCTCTGGCCGGTACCCCAGTTCTGTGTGCATAAATAAAATCAATCTTTTGAAAAATGCCTTCTGCTAGCAGTACATCATTTACATTGTTGAAGACCTCATCCTGTTTAGTAACACCTTCCCTGAGCCCTGAGAATTCCTATGAGCATATAGTCACAAGGTACACAGAAGGTAGATGAGGGCCCTAGTATTTGTGTGTGAAGGCAGGCTTGCTAAGGAAACAGGGTTTTATGTGTGAATCAAGCTACTTAAAATTGGAATTTTTCTATTGTATTTAGTGACATGCACCAATTGGCAACTATGGTTAGACTAGTGTGAGCAATGTAGTCCAGGTAGAAACCATTAGGGATAGCTGAAAAGAGAGGAAACAGAATTACAGAATTTAAACTCATTTAAGAGTTTAAGAGTAAGGGCCTCTCTGGTGGCCTAGGGGCTAAATCTTAGCACTATCACTGCTAAGACCATCGCCAGGGAGCTGACCCACATGCCACAGCAGACCTCTCCTGTCTCACCAGCTGCTCCTCTCGGCAGTGAATTTCAGTAGATCCATCTGTTCTGTTCCTTACTCTGTCTCTGGAGAATCTGCCCCCAACCCTGCACCTCTGGCCAGTACCCCAGTTCTCCTTTGCAAAATAAATCTAAAAAAAAATTTTTTTTTACAAGAGTGAAAGGGAAGATAGCAATGAAAGAGAAAATCTAAACATGTTTACCTACATGTGAAAAGGAGTCAGATGTGAGAGTGTTCTTAGTCAAGATTTTGAAAGTCAGTAATAAAAACTTAGCTCAAGCTATCAAGGAGAAAAGGTCTAACAAGGATGCAAAAGAGCTCAAGAACTCCAGGGCAGGCGGGAACACAATTTGCCAGCATCCAACTCGTTAATGTTAGTTTATAAGATTTGCTTGTTGGACAAGTTTTAGTTGACCATATTTTATTGTGATTATGTGAATTGTTTGTGGAGATGTTTATTTTTGTGTCTGCCTTAACTCTTGCAAGACTGAGGGGCAAATAAAAACACATATACATAAGGTACTATAAGCACAAGAATGAATACGTTTTTGTGCATATATTTTTCTGAATCCATTTTATAAATATTATAATGAAGAATATATTCTATGCTATGAATGTCTTATTGATAATGATGCCCACTAAGACAATTCATGTCCAAAATTATCTTCTTATTAATATAGCATTTTAGGTCCTTCAAAAAATGTAAAAAAAAAAAGTATCTAAAAATTAGAATTGTTAAAACTATTGTAATTTGCAGAGCAGTTTAGAAAGGGACTATATATAATTATGTTTCTTCAACATAGTGATTGCCAAGCTGTCTATTATGCTGTGTAATTTTTTTCATGGTTTTTACAAATGCCTGGTTTTGTAAATATATAGAGATTAACTAGTAATCTCTGGTGGTTGTAAAGAGCACCAGAAATGGATATCTCCTTGAACATTTGGCTTGATTCTGTGTCTCCATGCTCTCCATTAAAACTTGTCCCTATGAATTTAAAACTACTTGAGTCAGTGCCAATCAGGGTAACATGTGGTGAGAACACTTTCATGCTATCATTTATTGCAAAGTCTTGAAGATGAATGCTTATGCACCCGAGACTCGATTAGAAATGAAGCTACCTTTCCCAATGCAATGTCTCAATTTCTGTTTTTTGTACCACAGAATTGCCAGTCATCGCCATCTTAGAGTTCCCTTCCAGTTGGGGTGATACAGCTGCTGCATCCTTTCTGCCTTCTGCTCCCTTAAGCCTGAGAGCTTTAGCTTGACAGCTAATATGCAAACAGAACTCCCTCACTTTTGAATAGAAACCTGCCAAAATGGTTATGTGATATCTGTTTTCCAGAACCCAAAAGGCAATGAAGTTCCCTAGAAAAATACAGAGGTACACAGATTTCCTCTTTTTTTTTCTGCTGGAGGAAGGCTTGTATTATCAGAGATCAATAACGGCCTGACTTTGGTGGTTCATTTGTGTTTGTCACAGATCCCTTTAAGCAGAAAGTAGACATCGATGACAAATATCACAGGAACTTGGAAATAAGGAGGGGTTTGGCCTTCTCCACTGAAATCTGTTTCTGCAGATTTCTTTACCAAAGAAATGGAACTTCTAGGGCTCAGAAATGAGGAAGAAATAAGATATCGTGGCATGGGTATTTAAGTTGGTAACAGCTTCCAGAAATTGTCCACTTTTTCCAAGTGGAGAGAAGCAGTATTCGAGGTCAGGTGAAAATAGCTTCTAGGGTCTGGTTCTAGCCTCCAAATCAACCACTCCCCGTCTATTGGGGCTCTGGGGATACAGCTATATCAAGGTCTCAATTTCCATATTTCCAAATGAATTGAGAGTTATGAGAATCAAATGATAATGGCAGTAAAACTCCTCATAAATTATAACATTTTAGGCGAAAGTTAGCTATTTCCACAGTCTACAATATAATCACACAGAATAAAAGCCCAGAAATAATTGCAAGAAAGATTTTGGGGTATCACTGAATATCTTTGACTACTAACATGGGACAAATCTTCCCCTTGATAAATGTCTATAGTGGTTTTGTTTCAGTAGGCTGACCTGTATTTTATAGGTCAAGATCCAGTGGAGCCAGGACAGGAAGTGTAACAGAACGAATGGGTCACAGCACAAAACTTCTGTGACCTTAAAAGAGAGGTTCAGGGTCCTCCATGTTGGTGCAGTGGGTTAAAACACAGCACTACAGAAGTTAAAGCCACTTCAGCATGAGTTCAATCCCCGCCCCTGAGGTGATCCACATGACATGGCAGACCTCTCCTGACCTGCCTGCTGCTCCCTTCAGCAGTGTACTTCGTCAATCTGCCTATTCTGCTCCCCACTCTGTCTGGTGAAGCCTCTCACTGCCCCTGCACCTCTGGCTTGTACCCCAGTTCTGTATGCATAAATAAATAAATCTTTAAAAAAAAGAGAGAGAGAGAAAGAGAGGTTTACCATACCTATGCCAGCCTTTCCTGGGAACTTGCTTTAAAAGCAAAAAAAAAAAAAAAATTAAATAGAAAATAACAAGAAAACAGGTGAGAGTTTAAAATAATGTAACATATATGAAAAATAGTCTGGCGGTTTCTCAAAATGAAATTAAATTACCCTATGACTCAGCAATTCTACTTTTGTTGTACATAGCCCCCAAAACTGAAAGTGGAATCTCAGAGACATTTGGCCATTCTTGTGTGCAGAGAAGCATTATCCACATAGCAAAGAAAAGGTAGAAATAAACTCATTCCCATAGGTGGATTATGGGAAAAGAAATACAGAATATAGAAAGTAAGAACACCATTCAACCCTACAGAAGGTTGATACAGGACACCATGTGGATGAGCCTTGAAGGCATTATGCTACATGAATTAGTTTGGAGACTATATGATTTCCCTCTAAGAAGGTATCTATACTCAAATCATAGACAAAGAAAAAGGAGTGGAGGTTGCCACAGGCAAGGAGGACAGAAAATTGTTGTTTAGTGGATACAAAACTTCAATTATTTAAGATGAAAAAATTTGAGATATTGGTTGTGATGTTATTCAGTTATTGCATACCACATCATAAATAATGTTAATGTATACTTAACACTATTGCTCTACCCACTTAAAATGATAAGATAGTAAATTTTATGCTATGTGTACCACAATTATAAACTGAAAAAAAGGATTAAAAAATAAAAAGATAACAAACATATCCATTCTAACTTCACTCTCCCTTTGATTTGCATCTGTTTGTTCTCAGGCACACAAAAGTGCCAAGAGCTGGGTCCTTCTAAGTAATTCTGTCCACCAGCACTTGGGTAAACACAGATTCAGAGAAGGTTCCAGAAAGACAGAGTATATTTCCCCTGGCCCGGCTTGGATTTCTCTGGCATTTCCCCTTACAAATATTCCTAGGTAAATACCAGAGGCAGAGTTTAGAAGAAAATAAAGCATTGTGTTTATCAGAGAAGAGAGTAGATACTATTTAGCCATGTTATTTTAGATATGCCATATTCTGCTAACAGCTGGCAAGTTCTCTAAAGCATGGTTCAAAAGCTGTAATTGCTGAATGGAGCTTCAAGAGAATTTACAGAAATGAAAGCACATTGCTGCAGATTATTAACATAATCATCTCATTTATATTATAGATGAATACCTAAGATGTCTCCCAACTTGACACTTTATGAAACAGGTAGTTAATTAATGTAGGTAAAGCAGCATTTAACCTGAAGACTTCCCAGCAGGCATCTGGCAAGAGTGTAAAAAGCAGGAGAAAGAAAATGAGGAACAGCAGAGAGAACAAAAGCGGACTGCAGTCAACTTGAAAATGGAAATCAGGGAAGGAAGACGAGGGTCCTACCCAGGCTTCTCTAAGGCTTTGACACTCAGGTCTTACCAGTTCTTCATGGTTGCTTGATTTATCTGTGGTGTATCCATAAGGTGTGAGAATGAGCTGCCCATGAGAGTGGATGGTCAGGAAGCACAGAATATTCTCCTTCTTGCTCTCTATTAAGCTGGAAACAGCCTTAGTCTCTGGTTCAGACACTGGTCCTGTCCCACAGTACATTAAATCACTGCAATTTTTAGATGCACCAATACCTGGGGCATAGAGAAAACAGCAAACATGAACTTGACCCAGGGCAAGGGATCATCCCCCTCAGGGCATCTGTCGGTAGATCAGGCCTTGCCCGTGCTTGTCCTGGTTAGTTAGTCCTGGTAAGTCAGGTCACTTGGATGGTTATTCAAGGAAGAACTCAGAGAGACAGGAAGCCCAATGGTCAGATTTAGAAGCAAACTCCACACTTGCAGGATAAGGAACAAGATGCAAAATGAAATGGCCTTTTCAACGATTGTTACTTGAACTCATTGACCCTGAAACAAATGGTTGGGAACCAGTTCATGGGTCCAGGGACAAGCACTGTCCTAAGTCTCTTTCTCACTGTCTCGTTGACTTGAAATTCACTAGAGTTCTTTTATGAAAAAAAAACAACAAAACGCCCACTCCTTTGGAGTCTGTCCTTCTCACCAATAAGATGAGGACTATCAGCTGAGCTGAGTTTCCATGCTGGGCTCTGTGCTTAGACCTTATGTGTGGCATCTTATTGCCACAACAGTCTACTGCTCTGATGGTGTCATTACTGGCCTCATGCTAAAGCAGAGAAAGCTAAGGCAGAGAGCTGAAGCCACTGCAGATATAATGAATTGCATGATTAAGAAGTTCATTTGTAAAAGTTAAATCTCTACTAACTTGGGCCCTCCCTGGTGGCACAGTGGGTTAAAGCGCAGCACTAGGAAGCTAAAGCCACTTCAGCATTAGTTTGATCCGCCCCTGTGGTGATCCACATGGCACAGCAGACCTCTCCTGACACCCCTGCTGCTCCCCTCAGCAGTGTACTTCGTCAGTCTGCCTGTTCTGTTCCCCACTCTGTCTCTGGTGAAGCCTCTTACCACTCCTGCACCTCTGGCCTGTACCCCAGTTCTGTATGCATAAATAAATCTTTTTAAAAAATTGCTTTTTTTGGTCCCGTATTTCTTGTGTGAATTCCTCTACAAATGTGTACTTACTACACCAGTGCACATCAAAATTTCGATTGAGATCTGTTCCAAAACATGTGCCATTATTATGGGGTGAGCGGGATTTCCTCCACTGTCGATTCTGTAAGACAGAAACACAAGTGCTTGCCTTTCTCAGGTCTCATAAGTCACAGTGTTAGTGATGATGGGTGGTCCTGGAATGTGGAGGATGGCCCTGAGGATTGCCTGGGAGAACGTGCCTTTACCATGGTAAAGCTAGTGCTTCAGTCTCAAATTTGGGCTAGTAAACTTTAATAACAGGAACATCTGTATGAACAAAAGCATACATTCGTATAAACCACCAAATTGGAGGGAGTAGTTGGGCCTTTTCCTCAGGAGCTAGTGGATGTGATCTGCTTATTCAGGGAAAACTTCAGAGTTATATTTATGTCTGAGATCTACAAGATGAAAGGGAAATAGCTTGGCAGATGGAAAAAGGCTGTTGAGGGTGTATCAGAGATGGTCGTTGCACATTTCTGGAAGCAGAAGAGTGATGAGTGGAGAAGAGGTGAAAGACAGTTTTTTCTAGGGAAGCTCAGAGAGAAGGATCTGACTCACAGAACAGACCAGAAAGACTGTTGCAGAGAAAGTGGTGCATCAAAGGGGTGCAATGGGGGAAGGGGAGAAATTAACTCTATCTAGAAAGAGACCCAGTAGTGGAGTGATATGCTTTAGAGACATTTTAAAAACAAGGTTTTTGACTATATAGAAAGCATTGTACAGTGTTTGCACCAACTATGAACAATCACAATGAAAAGTGAAGGTTGTTCCCCTCAGACTTCTTGAACTGACTGAAGGTATAAAGGGTGGTATGTGAATTTTATAGCAATATAATCCTGTTCTGTGGCAGGCCAGCCACCACTTGAAGAGAGAAGAGTTAGATAAAAGTTAAGTCTAGGAGAAATATGGAAAACTGGAAAGAAGTAAAAAACAAGACACAACAACAATAAAGCATGTGCGAAACTTCAACTCTAAGGTCTTTGACCTCCTCCATCCTGAACTTGGCTTAGATTGTTAGATTAAATATTTTGATTTTCATCCCAAACAATTTTTTTCTTCACAAGGCCACAAACAAACATTTTTATAATTGATGACTGAGGTCAGAAAAATGAACCTGAGTTAAGATGGACTGATAGCTTACGAATTCACCGCAAGGCCAAACCTGATGGACTCACAGTTGTCCAAGTGTAGATATAACCATCGATGTTAAGAACCGGAAGCACGTAGAAGTCAAGGTGTGTAAGGAAATTTCTTATCTTTGAGTTGTCTTTATAGTTTTGTAGAATCTGGAAATTTAAGAGAGAAATGTTTTCAATGGCCCTAGGAAGAGGCTGTTCCTGATCTTCCATTTCAGCTTAATTATAAGGGATGACTATGTGTCTGTCAACTTCCAACCTTCAATCTTCCAACCTTAAGCTCCAATCTACCTCAGCCTGTCCTATTTCCTACAAAAGCAGTCCTCAAATTTCAGCATGTATTGGAGTCACCTGCAGTGCTTAGTAAAAGAGCTTGATAGACTTTCCCCAACCCTCACCCCTCCCCAATAGGTCAGAGGAGGTGATGTAGAGTCCAAGAACTTGTTTGCAGTTATACTGACGCTGTTAGTCTGAGTCATACTTTAAGGGCCGCTCTTTGTAGCTTCCTTATGTTTGGGTTACTAGAAAGACTGACACAAAAAGTACCTTCTAGTACTTTTAAAGATTTCTTATTCTAAGGGAGGAATTGAGTTAAATTCACTGTGTTATGTGTTTTTCATATGCTAAACCTCTTGATCCATGCAACAGATTCCTGCATTAGTCACTTTACACTTCTTTTGCAAGTGAAAATCTATAAGTCCTAGTGTTAAATATTTGTCTATGATTATTAGAAAGAGGTGGGATCAGGATCCAAATTCATTGCTGATATCCAAGATGCATTTTCTTCTACATTTAGATATGTTTACCTTCCAGTAAAAATTATCTTGGATGCATTAGAATGAGATTAAAATACTTTTTGTTGAAGTCACCCATTAACCCATTTCCCTTACCTCAGAAGTAGCTCAGGAGAATTGCATTGGCAACACATGAAAGAAGCCCTTTTTCTAAATAGCCAAGACATGACAGATGTTTTGTTGGGTAGCTAACCATTATTAGGAAGTTAAAGACACTTACTTCTTTTACAAACCATTGGCAAAAAGCTGGCGCAATCCATTCCCTGGCATGAATTCCACAGTCCATCCAAATGATCTTCTTGGGATTATTAGATGGTTGGCTGATCTGGAGGAGACATCCATGCTCCATTACCAAATGACCATTTGTCTTTATAAACCACATGCAAAGCTACCAGGTTTTGGAAATTCCCCTAGAGGCCCCTTTTTTTCTATCATTGATTTCAAGCATGAGGCAAGGGTGCTGATACAGAGACCCAGCAGCATGACTTTCCTTGACTACTCTTACCCACCTGATGGCTGCGTTAGCTGCTGTTCTCAAGCCAACGTGCTGATTCTGTATCCTTCTCACCACCCCCATGCAAAGCTTGGTCTTACCTAAATTATTCCTTACTGTAAATAAAGGGCAGATAATCCCAAGCCACAAACCAGGAGGCTTTCTACAAACTTGGTGAAAGCTGGGCCCTCCCTGGAGGTGAAATGGGTTGGGACGCAACACTGCACGCTTTTAGTTGCAGCCACTTCAGTGCAGGTTCGATCCTCTGTCCCAGAGGTGACCTACATGGCGTGGCAGACCTCTCCTGACCTGCCTGCTGCCCCCCTCAGCCGTGTACTTCGTCGATCTGCCTGTTCTGTTCTGCTCCACACTCTGTCTCTGGTAAATCCTCTCACCACCCCTGTACCTCTGGCCTGCACCCAGTTCTGGATGTATAAATAAATAAATCTTAAAAAAAAACTTGATGAAAGCTTATCACCTTCAGTTCACTGAGTGGTAAAGGGCACAAGAGTGATTCAAGAATTTTTATATTCAAGAATCATAGGTAGTAAAAATGAATCCAAGCCTTCACTTAAATTTCTGGGATCTATGATACCATGCAAATACATAATCTGCACTACTTATTAAATAGATTCCCCTTTCCTTAGAGACTCCTGCACTCCTGTTCACCTCAATCTTCTTTCCTCTCTTCCATTTGTCATTCTTATACATCAGTTTAGCCCCACTCCAGCAAAAAAAAATTCCCTCCTTTCAGAAGGGTAGGGTAGCTAGGAATTAACTAATGGCAGATTTTCTTTGGTGGAGGAGAAACTGTGAACATGCTCTTATTTGAGACAGTCACATCTGTTTGGGATTTACAAATGGCCTGGACTCCAGTTACTCATTGAAAGCCACAGGGAACAGGGGTTGATGACTTTTCTTTATCTATGAGAAACATTGAGCTAAGTACATGTCAGGGCCTTTTTCATTTTTGCCTCACCCTACTTTCAAAGCTGCCAGGATAACCTCTAATCTCCCTTTTGCTTTCATTTTATCATGACCTTTTTTATGAGAATATATAAGTTGCTTTTATGTTTATTATATTGCATCCTTGTTAGCAATTCTGTTATTTAAAATATGGCCGGGACAGAGGATGTTTCAATGTCTTTTCAGGTGAATCAGTTCAGAGGTTAACAGTCTACTGAAAATCAGGTAAGTCGGGGTCTCATGCTTAACCAATCCTTACCCAATTCTTGGGTCAATTCTGTTTTAGAGACAATACATTTTTTATAGTTGTAGATAATTCTTGAGATTGGAGCTCTTCCTTGTAAATGCCCACAGTAGCTGGCAAAGGGCTGTGAACTGAGTAGTGCTAGTTCCTCAAGTAAGACTTGTTGCAAAGCCCGCTGCTCTGGTAGTGCTTCTTTGAAGCATGGTTCCTGGACAGCGGTGCCTACACCTCCTGTGTCACCTGGCACTTGGGAGACATGCATGGAGGTTTGAAAACTTGAGTGCACACCCAAGTCACCTGGAGGAGGTCCAGTTAACACAGATAGCTGAGCCCCACCCCAGAGCTTCTGATTCACTAGATCTGCAGTGGAACCTGAGATCATGCATTTCTTTCTTTTTTTTTTTTAGGATGTATTTATTTATGCTTACAGAACTGTACTACAGGCCAGAGGTGTTGGGGGGGGGCGGAGTAAGAAGACTCACCAGAGACAGAGTGGGGAACAGAACAGGCAGATCTACTAAAATACACTGCTGAGGGGAGAAGTGAGCGGGTCAGGAGAGGTCTGCCATGCCATGTGGTCACCTCCCTGGCCAGGATTGAACTCATGCTGAGCAACTGCAGCTAGCGTCACAGTGCTGTGCTCCAACCTGTTGAGCCTCCAGAGAGAGCCCAGAACATGCATTTCTAACAAGCATCCAGATGACTCTTTGAAGACTACACTGCCTTTGTGCAGTGTTTGTCCAGCCTGGCTACACACTGGAGCTTCTACAGCAGGTCCAGTCCCATCTAGAACAATTAGCCCAGAATTCGTGTAAGTGGGAACCAGGCATCAGTAACTCTTGAACCACCTTAGGGTATTTTAATGTACAACTAGGATTATAAATCACTGGCCTAGGACCAAGTACTCCAAAGGCCTGGCCCTGTGGAAAGTGGCCATTCACATCACATACAAAAGGGGCAGGGAGCCTGGAGATCTGGTTCTTCCCCTGGCTGTGCTGCTGTGTGAACCTGCCCAAGTTATTTGAGGGTCTTTGTTCCCTCAACTATAAATTGAAGGGAAACAAAGCAGAAGATTATTATTTTCAAAAACAATTTTTTGAATAACAATTTTTAAGGGCCCTCCCTGGTGACACAATGGGTAAGGACGCAGCACTGCAAGCTGGCCACAGTCGCTTCAGTGCGAGCTCCATCCCTAGCCCCAGAGGTGCTGCAGACCTCTCCTGACCCAACTGCTCCCCTCAGCAGTGTACTTCGTCATTCAGCCTGTTCTACTCCCCACTCTGTCTCTGGTGAAGCCTCTCACTGCCCCTGCACCTCTGGCCTGTACCCCAAATAAAATAAATCTTTAAAAAAAAACCCAACTTTAAAAGTCCAAAATACACATGAAAAGTGAACTGCCTCGAGATGATGTGTGAGAGGGGGAGTTTTCCCCATGCTTCCCCTTCTCTCCTCGGTGGGTGGGAGCACGTGAGACCTAAGAACTTCATAGAGCACAGACTGAAAACCACTCACCTGGAGAGTGCAAGGGTCTGACCAGCCACCACCTACAATGCTTAGCTGGGACAAGGGAAGCCCAGCAAGAAGAAGGCTAAGGAATAAGGTTTTTCATGTCTGGGCCTCACTGTTCTTTAGGTTCTATGCCCATGGTCTTACTCAACCATCCCTAATTCTCTTTCCTTCAGAAGTTGATTCCATCCAGATTCAGGTATAAAAAACTTCATGAGTTTTGAATTTTAAAAGCCTATTTGGGGATGGAAAAGGAAAGTCTTTCTGCACTGCTTCTTTTAAGCTTGTCCATGTTTCTGGACAAAAGCCCCTAAGTAGTGAGTAAAGGTCTGTGGATGGAGCAGACCTCTTTTCCCAGTAAGATAGTGCTGTCTTCTCACTCACCTTCAAGTAATACATGGGCCGGGTCTCGTAGGTCATCCCAAGGAAATGCTGAGTCACCACGTCCTTGTACTTCTCACTTATCTGATTTATCCACTGATAGATCTGAAATAACCAGGGAGGATAACTGTTGTTTGCCTCTAATTAAGACTGCTATTTCTTAAGACACTGAACTCTGGACTCAAATTGGCAACGGCTCTGTGCCAAACAACCTGGGAATTGAAACCAATAAATTATTATTGTCCTGCTTTTCTTTAAAGATCTACTTTGTTGCCAAGTCCCTGTTGAACTTCACAGATCAAACTTTTACTGATATTTAACAATTTTACAGAAACACATCTTTCCAATGGTCACTGGATTGAACTTCCATATGACCCCCAACCAAGTCAGAATTTTCAGGATCGTTTTGCAGAAGCTTAAGTCTTTTTGGGATACCAACAATAGCCTTTGCTAATAATGTTCAAGGTTCCAGATTAAGAGCTGGATATGCCCTTCATTGAACAAGCCAACAGAAGTTTTTGAGTCAAACCCAAGTTAATCATTTTTATTAAACTAAGCAGACCTAAGTAGATGCTGATTTACTTATTCTTATACCCTGTAAGGAAGTAGCATGGGGTTATAAAAGAGGGAGTGGAGTAGGAAAGTCACAAATATGACCTTTAAGATAATTATCGGGGCCCTTCCTGGTGGCACAAGGGTTAGGACACAGCACTGCAAGTTAACGGCAGCTGCTTCAGTGCAAGTTCGATCCCAGGCCCGGGAGGGATCCACAATGCATGGCAGACCTCTCCTGACCCGCCTGCTGCTCCCCTCAGCAGTGTACTTCATCGATCTGCCTATTCTGCTCCCCCATTCTGTCTCTGGTGAATCTTCTCACTGCTCCTGCACCTCTGACTTGTACCCCAGTTCTGTATGCATAAATAAATAAATCTTAAAAATAAAAAAGATGGGCCCTCCCTGGTGGCGCAGCGGGTTAAAGCACAGCACTGAGAATCTAAAGCCACTTCCGCATGAGTTCGATTCCTGCCTGCCCCGGAGGTGACCACATGGTGTGGCAGACCTCTCCTGACCCGCCCGCTGCTCCCCTCAGCAGTGTACTTCGTCGATCTGCCTATTCTGTTCCCCACTCTGTCTCTGGTGAAGCCTCTCACCACCCCTGAGCCTCTGGCCTGTACCCCAGTTCTGTATGCAGAAATAAATAAATCTTTAAAAAAATAATAATAAAAAAGATAATTTTTGGGATGTGACTGGGTAATTTCCACACTCAGCTCTTTCTGTGCAAATTCTCTTTTGCACTCTTTGAATTTTGGGGGGGGAATAATAAATTTTGAATTTAATAATGAATTTTTTTTTTCAGGAATAATAAAATATTCCTGAATACTTAGAGAACAAATGATTCAAGCCTGTCTGAAGGATAATATGTATTTATATAACAAATGTGGGTATGCATATTCTTTAACCCAGCAACTTCATTTAAAAAAATTTATACTCAAAAAAGGTTTTGCATAATGTCACACACACATACACACCCCACATACATGCATATATAGCAGCAATTTTTTTTAACTGTGTCTAGTTTTAGAAACCACCGTTTTATTTTGGTAAAAAGACAAATATTTCTTCGAAAAAAGGTTTTCCCTCTTAAAAACCGTTGCCTGAGTTCCTTACATCCCAAAATGCAATGTGCGTTAGGATGTTGTTTCCTCCTTTTGGTTGCTGATTTGGTTATTTATTAGATATCACAGGATTTGTGGTATAAATGATGCTGACCAAGGGGTGATGTCTGAGAATCTATCAAACACAGACAGCGCCATGGCAAAACTCCACCTCACGTTTTGAGCCCCTCCCGCCTATGGGTGTTGGGGGTCCCGCAGGTGAGCGGCCCGCCCTCCTGAAACACCTGTGACTGCCAAGGCCCCGTCCCCGCGCCTTGCTCACCTCCCCCATGGGGTGGTATTTGTCGTAGGGATAGGTCGCCAGGTTCCATGGACTCGCTCTGTCATCCACAGTCTTTGGTTCATGTTGTGCTACTGATCTGAAAAGAAAGCAAGTCATACAAAAAAGTAATGAAGAAACCAAGATATCACGAGGGGTGGAAGATGTAGGATTTGGAGGGAAATAGCCAGCTCTGAAGTCCTGGCTGTGTGACACACTGGTCAGAAGAGAGTGGGCCACCCCTGAGTCTCTGCCTGTAGCTTCTTCACTGGCCGTGAGGACAGACAAGGCAACCTGGCAAGGTGGACTGTAGAGCATTGTGTGAGACCCGGCTGGGAAGCTGGGATGAAAATGCCTTTAAATTTGTAAAGGAAGTAACTGCTAAGATTTATTGAACTGAAATGAATTATGAGACATTCACTGGCTTAAGCAATTTAAATCTCATTTACTTGTCTTCAAAATTCTGGTCTAGGTATCACCATTTTATAACAGGTACGATAATAGGTATCTTATTATCCCCATTTCAGAGATGAAGATATTTAGTCATAGTGAAAGTGTTACTGGCATTTAAAGCCCGACAGTCTGCCTAAAGAGCCTGCAATATTAACCACTGAAGTGTATCTAAAAAAAACTTATCCTAATAAGAGTTTATACTTTTTTAAAGTAAAACTTATTTAGAATAGCTTTAGGTTCAAAGCAAAATTAGATGAAAAGTACAGAGCTCTTAAATAATAACCCCATACCACACACAACCTCTTCCACTGTCAACATCCCAACCCACCCCACCATAACAGTCCCTGTACCCACACCAACACGTCATTTCCATGCCCATAGCTATAATAAGGTTCACTTGGTGTTATTTATGCTATGGTTATGGACAATTTACAATGACATGTATCTATGCATTGTATATCATATAGAACAGTTCTGCTGCCCTGAAAATCCTCTGGGATCTGCCTACTCACCCCTGGCTCCCCCACAAATCTTGACACTTTTATTTTTTTTTAAAATATCTCCATTGTTATACCTTTTCAAGAATGTCACATGGCTAGAATTATACACTAGCTTATTTAGCTTATTCAGTTTGACTTTTCACTTAGCTATATACATACACTTCCTCCATGTCTTTTCATGGCATAATAGTGCATTTCCTTTTAATGTCCTATGTGGTGGCATTGTCTGGAAGCACAGTTTATTATCCATTTACTTTCTAAAGGAGATCTTGTGTGCTTCCAAGTAAGATGAAAATTGCTATAAACATTCACATGCAGGGTTTTGTGGTAGTTTAAATATTCAATTCATTTGGGAAAATACCAAGAAGTGTGATTACTGGATCCTATGGTGAGAGTTTATCAGGTTCCTTATAAGGAACTACCAAACTGTCTTCTAATGTAGATGTACCATTTTGCACTCCCACCAGTAATGAATGACAATTTCTGTTGGTCTACATATTTGTCAGCATTTGGTGTTGTCATTTTCTAGATTTTTTTTTTTTTTTGCCATTCTTGTAGTTGTCTTAATGGTTTAATTTGCATTTCCTCTTTTTTAAAAAGATGTATTTATTTATGCATATGGGATATAGGCCAGAGGTGCAGAGGCGGTGAGAGGATTCACCAGAGACAGAGAGGGGAGCAGAACAGAGCAGCGGGCGTGACAGGAGAGGTCTGCCACCCTTGTGGGTCACCTCCCTGGCCAGGGATTCAACTGTCACTGAACTCATCCTGAAGCGGCTGCAGCTTCACAGTGCTGTGCTCTTACCCACTGGGCCACCAGGGAGGGCCCTAATTTCTTAATGACACAAGATGTTGAACATCTTCTACATATAACCAATATATCCTTTTTGGTAAAGTGTCTATTTACATCTTTCATCATTTCTAGATCAACTTGTTTCTTTTCTTTTTCTTTCTTCTTCTTCTTTTTTCTTTTCTTTTCTTTTTGCAATCTTAAAGCATTTTTTAAAATTTATATCTTTTACATCCGTGTGTATTAACCATAAAGTCCTCACCACCGGTTCACAGTGGTGAACCATAGTCTCTTATGCTCTTCCCTTGCCTGTTTTAATCTTGAGTTTTAAGAGTTCTTTGTATATTTTGGATAACAGATCTGTATCAGATGTTCACAAATATATTCTCTCAGTTTGTACTTTGTCTTCCCATTGTATTTTGAAGTTGGTCCTTAATTTCAATGAAGCCCAGTGGTCAGTTAACTTCTTTCATGGTGTTGGTGTTGCATTTAAAGTCATCAGTGTAGTCAAAGTCATTTAGGTTTCCTCATATATTTTCTCCTGGGGAGCTGTGATTTTTCACTGTACATTTAGGCTTATAATCCATTTTGAGTTAAGGGTGTCAGATCAGTGTCTAGATTCACATTTTTATGTGTTGGTGTCTAGTTGTTTCATCACCATCTGTTGAAAATAATATTTTGCTGGTTGTACTGTCTTTCTTATAGTCAAAGACCAATTGATTATGTTTATGGGTCTAGTTTCATGCACTATTCTAGTCTATTAATCAGTCTATTTTCCCACCAATACAACACTGAGTAATCCAGTAGTTTTATAGTAAATCTTGAGGTTGAATACAATTAGTGCTCTGAGTTTGTTCTTCCATAGTATTATGTGGATTATTCTGCACCTTTTTCTCCTTTATCAATATCTACAAAATAACTTGTTGAAATTTTGATTGGGATTATGTTGGATTATAGGTCAAATTTGAGTCTTCCTATTCATAAATATGGACAATCTCTTCATTTATTTTGTTCTTATTTGACATATGTCACTAGAGTTTTGTTGTTTTCTCATCTAGATCTTGTACATATGTGCAAGCATTTCATTTTGAGGGGTAATTATATAAGTGACTATGTGTTTATAATTTTAAATCCTACATGCTTATTGCTGGCGTATAGACAAGTGATTGAGTTTTGTACATTAGCCTAGTATGTTCAACTTTGCTATAATTGCCTATTTTTTGGTTTGCATTTTTGTCAGTTCCTTCAAATTTTCTGCATAATGATCATGTCATCAGTGAATGAAATCAGATTAATTTTTTTCTTTCCTAATCTGTTTGCCTTTCATCTCCACTACCTTTCACATGGTATTAGCTAGAACTTCAAAAGCAGAGATGAGAGTAGGTGTCCTTGTTCTCCATCTTAGCATAAAAGCTTCTAACTTCTAACCCCAGTAAGTAAGGTGTTATTGGTTGTTTTCTATAGCTATTCTTTATGAAGTTGAGGAAATACCTCTCTATTCTTACTTTACTAAATGTGTGCAGAATATTGACTGTGAAACCAGATTTCTATACCTTGGATATATATCAGTTGGTGATATGGTATGTAATTCTTTTTAGACATTGTTGGATTCAATTGCTAATATTTGCTTTTGGGTTTTTACATCTATGTTCTTGATGTATATTGGTCTTTTTTTTTTTCCATAAAGTCTTTGGTTTTGGTATTGGTATAATGCAGTTAGGAAGTGTTCCCTCTGCTTCTGTCTTCTGGAAAATAATGGGTATAATTATAAAGGTTTGGAAGAAATTATCAGTGAGTCCATTTGGACCTGGTGTTTTTGGTTCTGAGAGATTATTAATTATAGTTTAAATTTTTAATAGATATTCAGACTGTCTGTGGTTTATCTTTTAACAAATGGTTTAATAAAACTATTCAGTGCCTCTTTTATGCCAAATTTGATGCCAGTCCATCAGTGAGTCCATTTGGACCTGGTGTTTTTTGGTTCTGAGAGATTATTAATTATAGTTTAAATTTTTAATAGATATAGCCCTATTCAGATTGTCTGTTTGTGGTTTATCTTTTAACAAATAGTTTAATAAAACTATTCAGTGCCTCTTTTATGCCAAATTTGATGCCAGCCCCTGAGAGAACATATTCATGCATGTTATATAATTTATTCTCCTTACAACTCTGTGAAGTATTCTAGCCATGTTGTACAACTAAGGTAACTAAGGCCAAGAGAATTTAAGTAACTACAAATAGTTTTTTTTTACTACAAATAGTTTTAATATTAGTAAGTCATACAGCCAGTATTCTGTCTGTAAGTCATATACAGGTTTAGTGAATGTTTTTGTTCCTTAGTTAAAGGCTTTATTTAAATACGAAATGGGGTTATACATTCAGTATGAGAGCACACTAACTGAAATTCACTGACCCAACAAATACAGTATGGAACAAATTCTATGTTAATTGCACTAGGATATGAGATTTTAGCTTCATACTGAGCTTTTGGTTTGTGATGCTACATACTGAGCTTTTGGTTTGTGATGCTACATTGCATAGCGTGTGTGACAGATCTAATAAGCAAATATTTCAATAAGTTTTATCTATTTTACCACAGTTTTTCCCTGGACATTTATAGTATAATATCTTCTCTTTCCCTGAGTCTTCATTTCCTTATCTGTAAATTGGGAATAATACCTAATTCATGTTTAATAATGAATACAATTTCTGACACCTAATACATGCATAATGAGTGTTCCTAATATCTAATAAATGCATAATGAGTGTTAACACACAGTACTAGTACAAGACAAAACAAAGAGAAAACACTATTTAGTTGCAAAGATACTAAAAATAAAAAATTGTATGAAGAATAATTTAACTAGCGACCTGGTATATCTTCAAATAATACCAAATTATATAATATTTTGATAGAGTTAATTAAAACTCAAGTTTGTTCATATCACATAACTCTACTAACTGGATTGAAGAAATTTAAAATATTTAATCTGGTTCATTCAGTAACATGGACCTCAACTGTGACTCTAATGAAAATGAATTTCTCTACAAAAATTCTAGGACTTTAAACTTAAATCCACTTTTCCCTTTTCATGGTTAATAATAATAATAATAGCAATAATTTGAAATTAACAGAGCTTAATAAAAGCTCTTTGACCTCAAAATTGTAAATATGTTTTACATCATTGAACAAATTTTACCTTATTTTACTTGCCCAAGTGAAAATCTTATGAGATTGGATTGTATAAATAATTAGTTAAAACAATGAAAATTAATTTTAGAAGATTAAAGAAAGTAAATGTTATTAAAATTGCAATAGTTGAGAAGCAATAGGTTTTTTTCATGGTATTCAGGGAT